CACGCACACACACACACACACACACACACACACACACACACACACACACACACACACACACACACACACACACACACACACACACACACACACACATATATATATATGCATATATATATATATATATATATATATATATATATATATATATATATATATATATATATATATATATATATATATACACATATATATATATTTATATATATGCATATATATATATGTGTATATACATACATATACACATGCACACACACACACATGTGTATGTATGTGTATTTGTATGCATATATATATATGTATATGTATATAAATCTATTCATATATGCATGTTTATGAATATATATTCATATACTTTCATATATATTGATATATATTCATTTATATATAATATATAGTATATGTATAGACATATGTATAATAATGTATGATATATATAAAACACACACACACACACACACACACACACACACACACACACACACACACACACACACACACACACACACACACACACACACACACACACACACACAAAGACAAACACACACACACATATATTCTTTTATGAGAGCACTTCATTGTAACACACAGTCCAAACAACTGGTCGAAGGAATATATACTCGAAATCCAGTGGTTAGAGATAAAGTTGATGTTTGTGGTTTTCAGAAGTGGTGGCAGAAGCTTCAGGAATAGTGTCAGAAGAGTTGGGAATTGGGCAGAGGCAACTAGGAGGGGGTGGCAGAGGTGGCAGATGTGGTGGTAGAGATGTCAAGAGTCGTGACACAGGCGTCAGGAGTGGAAGTAGAGGCGCCAGGGTGGTGACACAGGTGTCACAGGTGTCAGGAGCGGCGGCAATGGTGGCAGAGGGATTAGAAGCGGTGGTAGAGGCCTAACAGTGGTGGCAGAGGGGTTAGAAACGGTGTCAGATGCGTCGTGTGGTGGCAGAGGTGTCAGAAGGGGTGGCAGAGGCGTCATCAGTGGTGGCAGATGCGTCATGTGGTGGCAGAGGTGTCAGAAGGGGTGGCAGAAGCGTCATCAGTGGTGGCAGATGCGTCATGTGGTGGCAGAGGTGTCAGAAGGGGTGGCAGAGGCGTCAGAAGGAGCCATGTTAGGAGGAGCAACGGACGCAGTGTGAGGGTATGGTACAAGCCGCGAGGAAACACAGTAGATGCCCCATTACTATACAGAGATAGTCTTAATATAGCCTCCAGCGAAGACTCGCCAAGCATCCCCTCATGACGAGTCAGCGGCGACGTGCGGCACCACAGCTCCCCCCCCCCCTTTCTCACTCTCTCTCTCTCTCTTTCTCCCTCCCCCTCCCTTCGTCCCTCCCTCCTTCTCTCTCAATCCCACTCCCTCCTCTACCACTCTCTCTCTCTCACACACACACTCCTCCCTCCCTGTCTCTCCTTCCCTTTCTCTTTCACTCCTTCCTCCCCCCCCCCCCCATCTCTCTCTCTCTCTCTCTCTCTCTCTCTCTCTCTCTCTCTCTCTCTCTCTCTCTCTCTCTCTCTCTCTCTCTCTCTCTCTCACTCATTCCCTCTTCCTTACTCCAACACACACTGTTTATCTCTTGCACTATAATCGAATTACCTAATTCGTGTATGCTTTATACATCATCCCCTTTCTTTTCCTTGTCGGGGAAGGCGGGGCTATTGGGAGGCACGTTGGGGGGTAAGGCTGTTTGCGGGGGTTCCGGAAATTTACTTGAACTGAAGCGAGAAGCGTGAATATCATGGCTGAAGCGAGGTGAGGAAATTATGGCTGATAGAGAAGGGATCCGAAATTCATGACTTGAAGCGAGATGTGTGGAAATCAAGAATGAAATGATGGGTTTGGAGAAAAAAATAATAATAATAATGGATAAAATGGGAGGTGAGAAAATCATGACTGAAACGAGGAGGGAGAAAATCGTGGATAAAAAGGGGATTAGGAAAAACATGACTGAAACGAGGAGTCAGAATCCATAGACGAAGCGAGGAGCAAGAAAATCATGCCTGAAAAGGGTGTGAGAAAATCATGGATAAAGCAAGTAAGATAATAATTACTAAAGGAGGGTTAGACTATCGTGACTGAAGCGAGGGGCGAGAAAATCATGGATAAAGCGAGGAGTAAGAAAATCATGACAAACGAGACGTGTGAAAAATCATGGCTGAGGCTTGAGACGACACCGACGCGTCTCAAGGACTGAACCAAGGGGCTCTGACCTAAGACTAATTCCTCTTTCGCCAGTGATAGTAGAATTATTGCAGAGTTGGGGAGAGTGTTAAATAACTTTTATCTGATATCCTTTTTGAGAATATAGTAGTAATGATTGTCAGAAGCGGTGGACACGGAAGTAAATGACATGAGTGAAAGGTTGAGCAATAAATAAGATGACCTGGGAGAAAATAGGGGAGAGCAAATGTTACAAGTGATCTGAGAGAGTGAAGTTATCACAAGCTGAAGATATTGCGACAACTAGAGGAGGCTGGTAAGGTTTTCATAAACTCTTTAA